AAGACAAAGAGAGATTCTTCAAAGCAGCAAGAGAAAAATAGTTACCTACAAGGGAATACCCATATGACTGTCAGCTGATTTCTCAACAGAAACTATGCATGAAATGCTGAAAGGTATTCTTTAGGAAGAGAAAGAAGAAGAAAAAGGTAAAGATAAAAATTATGAACAACAAAGTAACAACAAATACACATCTATCAACAAGTGAATCTAAAAATCAAGTGAATAAATAATCTGATGAACAGAATAAACTGGTGATTATAATAGAATCAGGGACATAGAAAGGGAGTGGACTGACTATTCTTGGAGGGGAAAGGGGTGTGGGAGATGCAGGAAGAGACTGGACAAAAATCGTACATCTATGGATGAAGACAGTGGGTGGGGAGTGAGGGAGGAGGTTGGGGCGGGAACTGGGAGGAGGGGAGTTATGAGGGGGAAAAAGAGGAACAAATGTAATAATCTGAACAATAAAGATTTAATTTAAAAAAAAGAAAACAAACAAACAAAAAAAGATGGAATTGGAGGGACCCACACTATTTTTAAGCTTTGGCAAATAAGAGCATATAATATTTAGAAATTATTATGAATCTAGGATAGCTCAGAATAGGAAAGTACCAAGTTCCAAGCTAAAAAATTAAGCCATTATTTTAAAAAATATATTTTATAACCTATTTTATTGTTTCTTAGGCAAAAAGCTATCTATTTACTTTTTTTTTTCATTAACATTGCTTTTAAAAAGTACCACTAACAAGCAGAGTTATTCTAAGGGGTGAGACTATGGGCAGGAAAGGAAATGTGCTTTTCCTGAACTGGCCTAATGAAAGCTTACAGATAAACTCAGAAGATACAGAAAAACAGACTACTCTTTTTTACCCAACTTTGTTTACAGTAGGTCCTCAAATAACATTGTTCCGTGATAATGTGGAAGGGATGCATAGGAACTTAACTCTTTTTATATCAATTAGCCTATGGTAAAACTGGTTTCATTATACATGATTTCCCTTAAAGTTGCAGAACCTATCAAGGACATTGAGGACCTACTGTATAAGGAAAAGACTGGATACCTAAGATAATGTGCCAAAAAATGGACTATCCATGAAGAATGAATGGAGAACTTAGAGCAAGTTGTGAAGGAATATATTTTGAGACTCATGAATTCATGTGAATAGATAAACTTTAATGTACCAGGAACACTAAATACATATGAGACTATAATGAGGTCCTCCTCATAGAACTTGCTGGTAAGGTTCTTCTAGCAAATAAGTCTTGTATAATGGATACGAAGTAACCTGCCTGCACATATGGTAAATATGAAGTATAAAGACATGAGAAACTGCCCTAGCTGGTTTGGCTCAGTGGATAGAACATCAGCCCGAGGACTGAAGAGTCCCAGGTTCGATTACAGTCAAAGGCACATGGCCAGGTTGTGGGCTGGATCTCCAGTAGGGGGCATGCAGGAAACAGCCAATCAATTATCCTCTCTCATCATTGATGTTTCTATCTCTCTTTCCTTTCATTTCCTTTCTGAAATCAATAAAATAATAATAATAAAGACATGAAACTACCACATGTGGCTACTGCTATTTAGTGTCATATAGTCCCCTAACTGTGAAACAGTTGATGAAACAAAAACACAAGCTATAGCTAGTCCATTTTATTAATATATGTAAAGAAAAAAATGTTCTATAGAAAAAGAGTATCCTGTTTGTGGTCTAGGAAAGGGGAACCAAGGAGCTAGAATTTCTCAGAGTGCAGCCAGCCTGTCCAAGAAAGAGAAATACTAAATCTGGTAGACAAGAGTATTCTCTTTACAGAAGAGCTTACTCATTTTAAGCACAAGAAACTATAAAAGATTTCATGGCTTAATTAACTATCCCTCAGCACAATATAATTTCATTTCCTCTGACTCCTTGCTTACCAATCAGCCTTCTAATTTTCAATTTAACTTCTTAGGCATCATATTCCCAAGAATAAAGAATCATGCGCAGAACTGAATATACACTGAAGGAGTTAGAATTCTCATTGTAAATTAATGAATTGATATCTGGTTTTAAAACTGATCGTTGTGAGTTTGACAGGTATGTTTGTGGTCTAGAAAAGGGGAGCCAAAGAGCTAGGTGTCACATGGTACATCTCGGTTCACTAACAAAACCACATTCTTAGACCTGTACACGGCCAACTAAATTCCTGGTCATGATGATCCTGTCGAGGTATCTGGTGAAGCCTTCCTCTACCAAATTTAAACTTACTTATATCAACAACTTAAAAAAAAAATAAAAAAACAGCTCAGCCCAGCCTTCATAGCTCAGTGGTTGAGCGTTAACCTACAAATCAGGAGGTCACGGTTCAATTCCTGGTCAGGGCATATGCTTATGTTGCAGGTTGGATCCCCATTGTGGGGTGTGCAGGAGGAAGCCGATCAATGATTCTCTCTCATCATTGATGTTTCTATCTTTTGCCCTTTCCCTTTTTCTCTGAAATCAATAAAAATACATTTTTAGGATTAAAAATGGCGGCAGAGTAGGAAGATGCTGCATGAACATGCTCCCAGGAACAAGCTGGAATTACAACTAAAATACAGAAAGACTTCCTGAATAATCGATGGAAAACTCACAG